CTCTTCAAACTTGAACATAATAATCTTCAAAGATATCCCTTAAAATAACCAGACAGACATTGACCTTCACTTATAAATGACCTTGACTTTGAAGGTCAAATTATTGAAATTTTCATTTTTTTTGGCTATTATTGGCTGTAACTTTGTTATTTTTGAATGGATTGTCTTCAAACTTGAACATTATAATCTTCAAGGATAACTCTTAAATAAAACCAGACAGACCTTGACCTTCACTCATTAATGACCTTGACTTTGAAGTTAAAATTATTGTAATTTTCATTGTTTTGGCTGTAACTGGCTGTAACTTTGCTATTATTGAAGGGATCAACTTCATATTATAATAGAACATACTTAAGGACAAGACCTTGTTGTTTATCAAACACTTGGGCTCTTTAATGACCTTGACCTTGAAGGTTAAATAAATGAGTTTTCTCAGATTTTTGCATTAAATGACCATATATTTATTGGTGTGTGTGTGTATATATATAGTTGTCCGTCCACATTAATGTTTGTGAACACTCTAGTGGTCACATTTTTATGCTCCCCGAAAAAATTATATATACATATACATATAGTCGCCGCCTTGTCCGTCCGTCTTTCCGTCCGTCCGTCTGCCTTCTTGTCAGGGATCTATGCTTTATGCCAATCTTCAAAATTGTAAAGAAACAAAAAAAATCTGTTCCTACACTTCTATTTAGTGTTGTATTAATGCGGTGGCATAGCATTTTTCTCAAATGCAATCTTGTTGTCGTTGATTTTCGCGACCAAAACAATGAAAAACACAGGGCTATGTGCCAGAAAACTAGAAGGTGGACATGTATTTTTAATTGTTTGCTGTGAGGTACATATGTATATGTTAAATATGAAATGCATTTATTTCAGGTGTGTGATTACAGACTTGTGTGTGAGGTTTTGATTGTGGCGCAGTCAGTTGTTTGCCGAGAAGCCTTGAAAACTGTGTATTGCCCCCTCATTGAGTAGGTGCGCAGTGCACAAGAACCGTTACTCTGCCTTGCCTAATGTTTGAATTATTCCCCTTTGTTTATTTTTACACTTTGAACTTTGTCCAGGACATAACTCTAAAACTATAAAAGGTATCAACATGAAACTTTGTAGGTAGATAGATCTCATTAAGTAGGTTTGTTGCAGTGCACAAGAACTGTAACACTGTCTTGCCTACTTTTGGAGTTATTGCCCTTTGTTCATTTTGACACTTTGAACTTTGTCCGGGACATTTAAATTATAAGAGATATCAACATCAAACTTTGTAGATATATAGGTCTCATTGGGTGGAAGTGCAGTGTTTAAAAAGCTTGTCCGCTCAATTGCTTAAGAAGGCTTTGGTCAACAGTCTTCATATTTGGTATTGAGGTTGTTTATGACTAGTAGATGACCCCTTTTGATTTTAAGGTGACTGTGTTAAAGGTCAAGGTCACAAGGATTTTACTATAATAAGCTTGTCTGCTCAAATGCTTAAGAATGCCTGTCTGTAGCGTATTAATTTTAACATTTTCACATTTGAAGCATGTAGAATACATAACTAAGCAATGCAGTGTGGCTTAGTAACCTCAGATTTTGCAGGGAGGTTGTCTTGGTAACTCATTGGTCACTGTTGATTCTGACAAAGTGGTATGCAGGGGTATTCACGCCTTGACAGTGGCAGTTCTAGTTAAGTTTGCATACCACCTCAAATATTTTCCTATTCTATTGACATCTGGTTTTGAAACAAGTTGAAATTTTATACTTTTGTCTGAGAGCAAAATAGGACTCTCTCCAAGGTCTATAACTGTAACTTGGATTTAAAGAAAAAAAATTACCCTTTTGTTAACGTAGAAAAATTTACATGATCAAGGCTCTCTTTCAAACACTAAAATAGTTGAGTGTTGCTGTCCTATTGAAAGCTCTTGGTGGAATTAAATACAACTTCATACAATGATCAAGCACATTGAGAGAAAGTGCAATGCACAAGAAATGTAACTCCATCCTGACTACTCACAAAGTTATTGCCCTTCAAAACTTTCTATGCCACCGCCGCATTTGCGATGCGGTGGCATATAGCGATTCACCTGTGTGTGTGTGCCTGGCCGCAGCATCTGCGATGCGGTGGCATATAGCGATTCACGTGTTAGTGTTTGTATGTATGTGTCTTATGTTTGTGTGTTATATAGATTATATAGTGAACTTGAAAAAACACTAGTCCAATTTCAACCAAACTTGGCAGGATTGATCCTTGGGTGAAGGGCTTCCAAAGTTGTTCAAAGAATTTCATTAAGAATAAATTTTAAAAAATCTTCTTGTAAAGACCCACAAGGCCTAGAGCATAGATATTTTGCAAAAGGCATTGTCTGGTAGGCCTCTACCAAGATTGTACAAATTATAGCCCTGGGGTCAAAATTGGCCCGCTCCAGGGGTCATTGATTTTCACTATATTTACATACAGTAAAAACTAAAATACCTTCTTGTCTGAAGGTACAAGGCTTAGAGCTTTGATATTTGGTATATGATATCATCTATAGGTACTCTACCTAAGTTGTTCAAATTTTGCCTCTAGCGGCAAAATTAGCCCCGCCCTTGGGGTAATAGGTTTTCCTTTTATGTATATAGTAAAAACTTAAAAATCATCTTCTCTGAATTGACAAAGGCTAGAGGTTAGATATTTTGCATGAAACATTGTGTAGTGAACCTCTAGCAAGATTGCTTAAATGATAGCCCTGGGGTCAAAATTCGCCAAACCTGGGGGTCATTGATTTTCACTATGTACATAATATTATAGTAAAAAAATCTTCTTGTCTGAAGGTACAAGGCTTAGAGCTTTGATATTTGGTATATGATATCATCTATAGGTACTCTACCAAAGTTGTTCAGATTTCGCCTCTAGTTTCAAAATTAGCCCAGCCCTGGGTGTCAATAGGTTTTTCTTATTGTGTATATAGTAAAAACAAATTGACAAAGGCTAGAGCTTAGATATTTTGCATGAAACATTGTGTTGTAAAGCTCTGGCAAGATTGTTCAAATTATAGCCATGGGGTCAAAATTGACCCGCCCCGGGGGTCATTGATTTTCAGTCACTTATAATGTACATTAAGTAAAAATTTAAAATCTTTTTGCCTGAAGGTACAAGGCTTTGACCTTTGATATTTGGTAAATAATATCATACCAAAGTTGTTTAAATTATGCCCCTAGTGTTAAAATTGCCCTGCCCCAGAGGCAATAGTTTTCCTTATATGTATATAGTAAAAACTTGAAAAATTTCTTCTCTGAATTGACAAAGGCTAGAGATTAGATATTTGTCATGAGACTTTGTATAGTGAACCTCTCTGAGGATTGTTCAAATTATAGCCCTGGGGTCAAAATTGGGCCCTCTCCAGGGGTCATTGATTTTCACAATGTACATTATTAAAAGACTAAGTAAAAAATTAAAAAATCTTATTGTCTGAAGTTACAAGGCTTAGAGCTTTGATGTTTGCTTTATAATATCATCCATAGGTCCTCTACCAAAGTTGTTCAAATTTTGCCCCGGGTGTTTAAATTGGCCCTGCATTGATTTTCAATATGTACACATAGTAAAAACAGAAACACAGATGTTTCCTGAATTGGTGAAAGCTACATCTTAGACATTTGACATGAAATGTTGTTTGGTGGATCTGTATCAAGATTGGTTGAATTAAACCCTTGGGTAAATACACGTGTGTGTGTGTGTGTGTGTGTGTGCGTGCGTGCTTGTTTTGATTTTTTTCTCACTTCCACTTGTGTAACTATTCTTATGAAACTATCCGGAATATATGTATTATAAAGTTTGACTTTGTGGGAAGGGCTGTTGCTAATGTTGTAATAACTTGTAGCCCAACCCATTTGCACTATACTTATATGTACATTTGTTTTTTGTTTCTTTGTGTGTTATTCATATCTTACATGTATTATATAGTTGCAATAAAATATTATTAAACTAAACCCTTGGGTCAAACTTTTGCCTTGCCCAAGGGGACAGTGACTTTAACTTTCTTGTACAACCATGAAATTTGGACTATTTGCACATTTTTATTTGAAAAATTGAACTTTGATATCAGGTGACCTAGATTTTGATGATGTGACCTCCTTTTTGTCCTTTGATGTGCAGCTATGAAATTTGAACCATTTGCACATATTAAGATGTAAAGTGAACTTTGATATCAGCTGGCCTAGATTTTGACAAAGTGTCTTACTGTGTTGTCCTTTGATGTACAGTCATGGAATTTTGGCCATGTGAAATATGACCTTCAACACCAAATTCACTAGACTCAACTGCATTGATAGATTCCTACTCTGATCTTTTATTTGAATAACAATAGATTTAACCACTAATTTAATAATAAGAATTAGATAGGTGAGTGGTCTATGCATTATGGCAATCTTCATTTGTATGGGAACAAAAAAATTCTGTTCCTAGTTGTATTAATGCGGTGGCATAGTACTTTTCACAAATGCAATCTTGTTCTTGTCCAGTGCATAACTTGAAAACTAATGGTTTGAATTCAATGCAACTTCATGCAATGGTCATGCACTATAAGAGGATGTTGAGTGCACAAGAACCATAACTCTATCCACAGTAATTAAAGAGTGATTGCCCTTTGTTACTTTTCCTTGTCGCAGAGCAAAACATGAAATATACTGGTTGGAATTCAATACAAGTTCATACATTGAGTGCATAGGAACCATAACTCTTTCGTGGCTCATTTTAGAGTTATTAACCTTTGTTACTTGAAAATTAATGGTTGGAATTCATTGCAACTTCATTCAATGGTCTAGCGCAGTGACATGAAGTGCAATGCACAAGAACCGTAACAATATCAACTGTTGGTCAATCACCATTATAACAGTCTATGCTTTGAAATATATTGTAAATTACGCTCAACTTTGCTATGAAAATATGAGTATAATTTAATTTCTTATTTATATTGTATTAATCATTCCATGTGTAAGTGTTCTCTTCCCTTAACAGCCTTGTTATATTTTAGGTAATCAGGCTGCAACCAGTTGTCAGCATGACCGAGGAGACAGTGTTGTCATTCAGTGTTGTTGGTCTAACTGTTGATTATAATGTTGACAACTGGGTGCCAAAAAAAGGTCAGCGTCTTCTTTGTTCCCTGTGTTATGGTTGCATTGAAGTTTTCAAAGATGGTCAATGTGTTGGGAAAGTAGCAAAGGAAGCTCCTAATACATGCAAAGAGTGGCTGGAAAGCAATGGCAAATTGGAAGCAGTTGTTATATCGGTGCCAAAAAAGCATAGAAACAAAGGAAGAGAGGTGCCTGTTGTATTTGTTTTTAAAAGTGTAAAAAGCTGCTTGATGGAAAACATCAAAAGGGGCATTAAATCAGGTAATAATTGTGCAGACTTACACTTATTATAATAAATGTTAAAGTTGGCGTTTTTTTTGGACTTGAGAATAAAATAAGGAAAAGAAAAAGCTTATGATATCAAAGTTTGTTGCCTTCATAAGATACTTCACATGCACAACAAATATTGTTGAGTGTTTTTGGGAATGATGTTATCAGTGGATGTGACAGTAAACAAAATCAGATATGAAGTATTATTTGTCTGAGTCAGTTCATTCAGCTAAAACATGGTATTGGTGCTGAACAGTGATTTCTGTATCGCCTCTAAGGAGTAGTGGGGACAGTTATGGATCATTTCTCTGTCGCCTGTCCCTTCTGTCCATCTATCACAAATTTTTTCCCGAGTACTCCTCATAAACTATTGGTTCAATGATTTTTGTCAGAGTTATGGGCTTATGGCCCTTTGATAATTTTTATACGCCCAAAACAGTTTTGGCGTATATTCTTTTGCACCTGTTTGTCCGTACAAACGTATAGATACTTAGGAGGCTATTGGAACAATAGATAACAGTAAATTTCCTTTGATGCTATTCATTCAGTAAGCTTTTAGGTGGCTACTTTTTCTCTTACATGGCTTAAAGAAAAATAGAGAGAACTAAAGAGTAGCCACTTAAATACCAAACTTTGAGGACGTCCGTTCGTTTGTCCATCAGCACTCACAGGACAGTAAATATATGGCTAGAGGGACAATAGGTAACTGTTCTTTCTCTTTGATGTCATTCATGCCGTAATGCTTTTATGTGGCTATTTTCTTTTGTGTGTCTAAAAAGAACAATCGTGAGAACAATAGAGTAGCCACATAATTACTGTCCTGTGAGAACGCTGTCTTTCCGTCCGTCTGTTAGCAGGTTTTCTTGTCCAGTCTGTACTTTTCGAACCAGTGAAGGGATATTCAAACTATTTTGCAGCAATGTTAACTATAATGAGAAGATGTGCAGAGGGCAGGATTGACATTTCTCAGGTCAAGTTCACTGTCATTTTCTTTCAATATCAAATTTTTTTGAACCAATGGAATGAAATTAAATGTTTTTTGCAGAAATATTACCGCTGTGGGTTCCAATCCCAACAGGGACTTTGGATTCTTTCATGTGAGGAAGCTATCCAGCTTACATACGGAACGTCGGTAGTTCTACTCAGGTGCCCATTTGTGCCTGAAATAATGCACGGAGGGGCACCTGAGGTTTTCCTCCACCAGAAAAGCTGGAACGTTGCCATATGACCTATACTGTGTTGGTGCCACGTAAAACCCAATCAAACAAACAAACAAACATAGTCTTATATATGAGTTTTCGTGTCTGGTCTGTAAGTCTTTTGAACAATTGAAAGAAATTGAAACTACTTGGCAGAAATGTTAATCATATTGAGACGATGTGTAGAGTGCAGGTTTGACCTTCCTCATTTTGTATCACTTTCAAGATTTTGTGTTTGCCCTGTATCCTTTAAACTGATAGTATGAAATTAAATCTATTCGGCAGAAATATTAATATTGCTGAGATGATGTGCAGAGCGCAGATTTTGACTACCTCAGGTCAAGGTCATAGTGACTCATTCAAAATCCTTATATAAAGTGTATACAGTGTAACTTAATCTGAAAACCAAACACCTACATGGGAGTTGTCAAAAAGTTAGGAATTTGGAAGTTTTCGGAATTCAGAAGTTCGAAATTATCTGAACAAGATAGAAACATTAAATTAAAATTGAACATCAATTGTTTAAGACATGATGAAAGATAAGGAAGCTGATCAAATTAATAAAAAAGCAAAACTATAGGACTTTTACAAGGTTATAACTATGTTGTATATTAAATTTCATAATCACCTATCACTGAATTTGTTGATACAAAAGCATAACTTCATTAAATGTCTGACAAAATCCCCTTCGGACAACATCCACTTCATGTATTTTTGTGTATCTGGACGTTATCCCCTCCATGGGTGGACATAATCCCCTTCATGTGTGAAATTTTGAAGTAGACAAAATCCCCTCAAGCTTATATAATAATAGCCCCACAGCAAAATGTTGGGGGGGGGGGCTCTAATTGATTCGCTTTGTAGCGTCGGTCGGTCTGTCCGTCTCCATTGTCCTGTTTGCTCTATAAATCCTATACCAATTGAAGTATTTTCTTTAAACTTGGCTCAAATGTTCACGTCAACAAGGGGGATGTGCAGAACCCATGTTGCCTGTGTGTCAGCTTAAGGTTAAGGTCACAATTGAAGGTCAAATATCAAATATTAGACAGTATGTCGTGTCCGCTCTGTAAGTCCTAAACAAATTGAAAGATTTTCTTCAATCTTGGCTAAAATGTTCAACTCAACAAGGTAATGTGCAGAACCCATGCTACCCTTTTGCCGGCTTAAGGTCAAGGTCACACTTGAAGGTAAAAAATTTACTTAGAAAATGTTCTTAAATTTTTACATGTACTTGAATGTTTCTGAAATGAGCACAGGTGTTTGCTTGAAACTTAAAAGATATATGAGGTGTCACAAGTAAGATATGCAGGTCTAGTTTCATAACTCTGTATTGCATTTTTACAAAGTTATGCCCCTTATTTGTCTTTAAATTTACATACAATCAATATTAGACAATATGTTGTGTCCGTTCTATAAATTCTATACAAATGGGAGGATTTTCTTCAAACTTGACTCAAATGTTCACCCCAACTGGACAATGTGCAGAACCCATCTTACCCTTGTGCCAGCTTAAGGTCAAGGCCCCTCTTAAAGGTAAAAAATTGACTTAGAAAATGTTCTGAAACGTTAACATGTACTTGAATATTTCGAAAAACTAGAACAGATAATCATTTGAAACTTCAAATATATATGAAGTGTTGCACTTAATAAGATATGCAGGTCAAGTTTCATAACTAAAGCACCGCCTCCGTGGTCGAGGGGTTAGGGTCAATGACTTCTAATCCAGTTACCTCTCTGGCATGGGTTCATTCCCCAGAGACGCTTTGGTAGTTTAGTAGCGCGGAGGAAGGTAGTCTAGTACTGGTGTAACTCTCCAGGAACGATGGTTAGGAAACTACCTGCCTATATGACTGATATACTGTTGGGAAAAGGCGTAAAATCAAACAAACAAACAAAACAAAAACTAAAAAAAGTGGGGGGATAACTTTGTATTGTATTTTGACAAAGTTAAGTCCATTTTTATGTCTTTAAATTTATTTACTATTATATTTCTCATACTAGAACAGATATTTACTTGAAACTTAAAATTTATATGAATGGTTACAAGCAAGCTCAGATGACGAAAATTCTACATTTCCATTGAATTATGACATAAGTTATGCCCCTTTTAGATTTAGAAAATGTTCTGATATAACCATTAATTCTTCTAAATGTTTCTGAAACTAGAACAGAAAATCACTTGAAACTATATAATATATAAAGGGTCACAAGTAAGCTCAGTATCCAAAGTTTTTCCACTTTTAATTACATTTTGACATAATTATGCTATTTTCTTATCTTCACTGCTTTTGTTTGTTTTAGTACATTGATAAAATGAAAGATTATTTGTAACTGTTTCGAACATGATTTGACAATATATATTTATACTATATCATGTACCTGTACAATTTGTCTTTTTTTCACCAGAGATTCTTTTAATGTATATGTATTTGTGCCACTAAAGTTATTCCCTTAACGACCTTTCCAAGTATTCTTCTGCCAAGGACATTCGTGGGGTTATGAAAAGCATTCAGCGATAGTTCAAGTTATGTTTTAAGGTTAACTTATGATACATAATTATAAATAAAAAAAAGAAAAGTTCATTATTCATCAATTTTTACGGAGTATAATGATACCCCTTGTTCATCAATTTTTATGGAGCATAATAAAACATTTGAAATTTATGAAACAAGGGGATTTTGTCAGGGTAGGTAAGGGGATTTTGTCAAGTCTTGCAAAAACATGAAGGGGATTATGTCCACCCAATGGAGCGGATTTTGTCCGGGTATGCAAAAGGGATTTAATGGTAGTACACCAATTGTCAGACAAAATCCCCTTTGGACAAAATCCCCCTCATGTATTTTTGTATATCTGGACATTATCCCCTCCATGGGTGAACATAATCCCCTTCATTTGTGAAATTTTGAAGTGGACAAAATCCCCTCAATAAAATTGCTACCTAGAACAAAATCCCCCTCAGATAAATTTTCTGTTTAAAAAGTGGGTATGAGAGCGACATACTGCATTATGCTGTGTGGTGATTTTGAAGTACTCGGGAATATTGGTTTCAACAACAGTCCTATACTGCTAAGGCCTGTGCTAATGAACACTGCTAAACTTATTAAATTGTTTTAATGATAATTTATTTGATAACTGATTAGAACAAATAAAAAAATATGTCTTATCAAGCTTATATAATTATAAAGGTTAACATGTTACATGATTATAAATGAAAAAAAAACAAAAGTTCATTATTAGACGGCGCATGCATGCGCCGTCTAGTAGATATTCATTTGTCCGTATAGCATTGGGAAAAATATTAGACTTGATTTGGTGCATTTTCTTCTTGTTTTAACAAAATCAAATTGTTTTCAAATTTTCTCATAAAAATAGCTTTTCTGATATACAACATGTCACAAAGCTTTAAAGGATTAAAATAAACGACTTACTGAGGTGATAGTGTCATGTTTGAATATCATATTCTTTTTATAATTATCTTATTTTATGTTTGAATATCATATTCTTTTTATAATTATCTTAGGGGACAGGGGACAATTATTCCAATGATGGCCCCGGTCAAATTTTTAATAACTCAGACATGGTGTTTTGAAGGTACTGGGAACTTCTGATATTTCTCTGTCATTGTAATTCTTTCTTGTTTGTAAGTAGGAAATGAGCAGTATTTTTGGGTTTTTACCCGAAACTAAGCATTTTGGTAGCTTTGTATGTATTTGTGACTCTCCGAATGGAGGTGAAAAAGTTAAAAATCAAGCTTTGACAGTTGGCGCCAAACAAGTAAGAAATTTCGGATAA